GTAATGACCAGTTCGCCATGTAATATACTACCTGTCCTTCGTCTCACATCAAACGCTCACCGAAGTCCTGTTTGTTTTGTTACCTGGACAGATGAAAGGGATTTTCGGCGTGAACTTTAAGTTTTTATGGACAGTTGAAAAGTGGTTAAATACAGGGCGGGGAGAACAAACAAACGCCCACAAGGATGCGCGCTGATCAGTTCAGTGGCTAATTACGTACTAAAGGGTTACTTCTACTATTCTGTTAGACTATTACACTTACTGGTCATTAAACTAAGCTGTGATAACAGGTACGAAAGCAAAGGTAGAGTACAAGCAGCTTTCAAAGTGTTTATTCTACGCATACATACATGTGGTATGTACCGTCCATACACTGAATACATGTTTTATATGTGAACATGCAAAACACTTTTTTTTGCTCTAATGCATTAATATATATTGATGAAATCATTCTAAAGATCTTGATACCGAATTTGGTACTTGTTCGAAAGAGCTCAATAGAAATGTGTTGAAGTTGTGGAAGACGCAAATTCTTAAACGGTGGCGCTGTGAGGTGATTTGCAATCTTCGTCTTTAGTAGTCTGCGAAAGCTTTTCTCCTTCAAAATCATCTCATGGAAGGGTGTCCATCAATAGCTTTCAAAACCACACGATTCGCCAAATTCTGCAACTATCAGAGGACTTCCAACGCAGAAGTTCCAAGTCATTTACCTACACCAGCGTTTTGTTTTCCAAAACACAGCAATAAATCATGTCAAAAAGCGCTTAAGAATCGTAAAAGACCCGAGATCTAGAACTGTCTGTGGATTTAAGGTATTATAGGAACTTGCTGACAACGAAAATCATTAAAAATAAGTCCAAAACATCCAGTCTTTAATCCCTGAGTTGAAGCTACAAAACAGCTGCGTTTATAAACAACGATCTCACTGAGTGATGAATTTCGATTGTACAGATTAAAATCTTCGGTAAATTTGTCAATATTTGAACACTGTATTTTATAGCCAAAAACAATTGCATCTAAAAACTAAAGGACATGTTCTTGGCGTATTCTGTATCATATGTCACACAATAGATAATGTTGTTTCCAACTCGTTCCCAGTGTTCCTTCCTCCTCCTGACAGCGTGTGCGTGCCCGGCCCATAATGCCCCGGGGCAGCGGCCATATTGGTGCCACTAATAGGCCTTATTATCCGGTGCGTCACTTGTCATACCTTCTTCCGTCACACTTCAGTGTGTTTTACCTGGAACCATATATTCAATCATTTCAACATCCACCTGACGATACAGATACAAGAAACATAGCTGTCTGTTTTTATTACTACCCTCTCTATCCAATATGGACAATACCTGTTGCTATGTTGTCATGTTGAATCCACGTGAGCTCAATGGTTGATATAATAACCCTGGACACGAAAGTTGTTGGGCACATGTTTGAGCAGATAGGCGGACACACCGCCCACCTGACGGAGCCTACTCTGTAATTTTCTAAACGCCGGTTTCTAAACCCTGCCATTTGTCACCAGACTGATCACAACTTTCTGGATGTTTTCTCAAGCCATTTTTTGCTTACAAGATTTGACAGTGAAAGTGCGTTTTAATAGATAGCTATGAGAGTTGTGTTTACTTTCACTTCTTAAGATATTTATATAAATGACTGTTCAGAATGTCTTAACTGAAAATGTGTCCACGTTTCTCGATCCACTGATCACAATCTTTCTTTATCTTTGCTTTGAAGTGGTGTACACGTTGTAAATGACGTGATCAAATATGTTCCAATAGTTCGCTTCGCCTTTTCGTTTGAAGTAAGCTAAAACTGTCAAACTGGAACAAACGTGAAAATAAGACAAATTGCAGGTTTTTATATTTGGACTCGCTTATTAACCAGCGTTTGGTTGCAATTTTACCCCTACTTTCAGCACCTTAAAGGGCCTATCACACTTATTGATAAGATTAGGGTCCATCTTGGTGTGAGTGGCTCAAACCAATCATGTCAGTCTGGTCTTTCGCAACTCGTACTTGACGTACAAAACTACAACTTGTTGCGGTTTGCTACAAAGGTTTACCCGTTATACCACACGAAAAGAACGAGTGACAAATTTTAAGAGCACATTATCTACTTTATTTATGTTAACTTCGGTTCTATCTATTCCTACATGTGACCGTCCGCTCGTGAACCATACATGTACATGTACATGTGTACGTGTTATTTCTCACATCCGGTAAAACATATGATTGCTGTTATGCGTTCCACAAATGGGTGGCGAAGGAAACCCAGCTTATGTTGGACTCACGCGTAGCTTGAAGTAGTTAGTAAAATACTAGGAACGCCCCCAACATTCTGAACCCATCAGGCCAGTCTTATCTGTAGTGCCTGACAGGATCAGACTGTTGTCCCGGCCAGTGGAATTTGGTAGCTCCATTACGTGTAATTACGGTATAATTAAGAGATAGGTGCAGTGGGAATGCGGATTTGGTCACCAGGAAAACTTCTGTCAACGTGCGCGATCGTTAGGAAATTCCTGCCGCATAACTCGCCATTCCAGCCGATTATAAATCCTCCGGATTATCAAAGGTAGGGACTGGGATGCTTTTATTGAAAGGTATGTCTTGTACGGTAATCCTGGTCACTTTTTGTCTTGTTGCTTTGTTTCGTACCTGTATACGTATACTTAACATAGTTCATTTGTATGATTATGATATTTAATTGTAAAATACCTTAACCTCTACTAGGTGAATAAACTAAGAACATAATTCCATGAAGGTTAGACATCCAGGTAATGAGATACACAAGGAAATTGTTATTCAAGCAACTTGGTAGATTTCGAAAATTTGTCCAGTTTCTTGAGTAACAATTTCTTGTGTAAGAACACGGCTCACGTCTATACATACCACCCCTTACAGATAGAGTATATTTGAGAGAAAGAGAAGAAGAGAGAAAGACAATGAAGAAATAGTTACTACTCTCAAAAAACTGTCATCACCTTTCTCAGATTGCTTATTGAATTTTCAAGCTGGTCTATTTTTCATGTAGCTGACGTCGTTGTCAAATAAATGATTGTGATAAATTTCCAGCCCCACTTATTACTGCCTATACACCCCGAGAAGCTGACAGTTGTAGTGTGTACTATTAGCGCCCTTTTCCTGTGAGAAGAAGATAACATCAAAGAACTTTTACCCTGCTGACTTAGTCCAACCAGCCGGCAAATCGACCAGCATAGCGCCGAAGATCTGACCACGATAGTTTCAGTCGGTTCAGGACTTTAATGAGTACTTTTGTGTGGAAATGTCTTGTTAGTTACGGTTAGTCTATCATCTACAAGGCCGAACTACAAGCTATGGCATGTAGGGTTGATCTCCATGCCTTATATATTAATTATGACAAGGGTTATAACGCAAGTATGTATGTGTATAACGAACTTGAACCCAAATTGTTTCTTTGGGTGAAAGTTTAGCTCTTATTCATTTGAGAAAGTGGCCAAACGGGAGTGTTGTACAGTCTTTCTGTGCTTGTACATTCCAACAAATTAGCGACATGCACGGCACATGAAAGTATCCAGTCCAATGTCGGGAGTTTAATCCCCACTTGTGTCGTGTCTGTTCAATCTTTGAGTCAAATTCTTTACCCTCGTCCGCTTTGTTCGCTAAATAAGTATCATATGTTCTCCTCTTTTTAAATGTTCTTTGAGGCCATATGTGTTGTGTTGCTGCTGTTAAAAAGGAGAGAATAGATAAAGCAGTGCGACAGAATCTTCAGTCATTGTAAGTAGTATATGAGATATCTAGTGATATCTGTACGGTATCGTCTCCTTCATAAGCCATGACTTGCAATTCTGTAGCTGTAACAGGTGTTTCAGGCCCGAGGTTGATCACTCCACACCACCTATGATTTATGAAGCCCGAAAACCCTTACCTCTTCCCTCGTGACCTCAATGAAAAGCGGCCTACAGGCCGCGAGTTGAACCTGAATAAAGTTCAAGCAAATATCTACTCCCCCTTTTCAATGCATCCTCAAAAATTTCTTCAAAAACTCAAAACTGTTGGTTTGTATGGGCCAAATAAGCGAGCATATTGTTCCTACTAGCTTTCTTCTATAACGCCCATTGAACTTGTTGTCCGTTTGGCCCGTACACGTGTATACCATAGCGTTGCTCGAGAATTTTCAGTCACATTCGTCATAGTTTCTTTAGTCGTCGTAAGATACTCAGGGAGCTATTACAGAACTGACGACAACCTACAACAAACTTTTGTGTCACAATGCAGCCGATTTACTGTCGTAGACCCGTCGTACGACAGACGTGAGCGTGCTCGGACAGTTGTTACCACACAGGTCTCCTCAGGTCGTTCATTTTGCGGAGAATGTGGGACATGGCGGGGTCATCAGGTGAGAATGTGGCCGAGTTGGAACATTCTTCACCACGTGTTGACAGATGGCACCACCTGTTACACTCAACAGGAAAGGCCGCCATTGTCGTACATCACTCCATCGGAGACTGGGGAGATTCTCAGAAGAGACAAAGCAAATGAGAACCGTACCCCATTCCCACATTAATCATGCACCATAGTATATTACCTAATACAGCTTTAACTTGGAGACCTCAGGTTGGAAAAGAAAAAGAGGAAGACCCAAATCCACTTGGCGTTCATGGGATTATCCTGGCGATCTGTAAAGAAGGTGGCCAAGGACAGACTCAGATAGAAAAGAGAAGTCATGGGCTTATGTCTCGCAAGGATGAAGAGGATAAGTAAGTACGTTTTAGAATTAATAGCTTGATATCTCTGGGACATAGACTATGTACATCATAGCTAGTAATGACATCAAAGTATCATTCTATGGCACTGGACTAATTATGGGGAGGGGCTACGTTTTTCATTTGATAGGACTCCTAGCTAGGTAAAGTCTCGACTTTAATTTTTCTACTTTCTATGATTTAACTCAATTGCTTTATATCAATACAAGACATCACCACAAATGAAAAAGGTGACACAAACGAGGAATTTGCTATATTGACAGTTTTTATTGCAAATGGTTCCCAACTTTGCTGGCAAAATAATAATTACGTTACATCACAATGTTCTCAACAGCTCGTTGCAAACGCACACGTACAAATAAACACATGTAAAAAGCGTCAACAGATATCTCAACGCTTCTCAGGAAATTACAATGGACAATATCACACATCACACCCACAAAACAAGTTGATAAGTTATGTAAGTTTGCAATATCATACTACTCTTTTAAAAATGAGGAATCGCTTTATATAAACGTAACATCAAGCGGATTGAGTTACGAAACATCATCAAGGCGTCGCGAACAAAATATTTTTTCTTATCACTGCATTTCCGTTTTTGATATAGAAAGGAATTTGCGAGATTAAATTACAGGAAGCGTTACATTTACAGCGTCCCAGCATGCTTCGGCCATCCGTCACTGTCAGCCATTTTGATTGAACCGTCAGCTATTTCTCGCTACATTAATATCAACACTTGTCCGCACAGGTGTCACTATGGGGGCAGCAGTAAAGCCCCTGTCACACATCCGTACATTGTATGTGGCCTCCCCAACACTGGCCGAACTTCCACAACCATGGTTAGGAGTAGGTCGGGAGCAAGGTCGGCTGGTGTTTGGCTGCGAAGGCCGAACGTTGGCTGGTGGTTGGCTAGAGTTTGGGAGTAGGTCGGCAGTCGTCGGGGCGTGTTGGGGGTCTAAATTTGACTTGGCTGGTTGGTGGACGGGGGAAGGTTCTGAATGTGTGACAGGGGCTTAAAGGCACCCATCAGTGAAAGCCACAAAGGATAAGGCACAAGGCTGATGATCAATATAAAAACTGTGATGTACAAGTTTACAAATGGCTAGTCAGGATGTCTATTCTATATTCTATACTTATCTATCATTGTATGGCCAATCCTTGATAACAATGTCAACATACACATATTATGTGACATAATTCAGATCTACAATTTTCAATGGTTAAGAACTTGTTTGAGACAGTGTTAATAGCTGGCACACACTCTCCACTATTTACACAAGCAACACAAGAGTTCACTAAAGTATGTGAGAACGACCATCTGGGAAGAGAGCAGTTACAAATGCTTTCATATTTCTTTAAATAATAGTGATACCGTCATAAGCCAGTTTCTTTCCTTCCTTAAAAAAGGGTGTTTGTTGACTTTAAAGTAAACAACCATACGGACCACAAAATGTTGATACAATTTGCCACGTCATCACTAGACGAACTGTGTGGTAGAAATGTTTCTTGTTTATCAATTATTATTTTTTCAGAGCACATGGTGTCATAACCACGGGTTGTAAACATTGGTGGAAACCATATTTTCCTGTTAGCTACATTGCGTTGCGCTTCATGTTTTCAATATTGTCTATATCGTTAAGCTGACATATGCATGCACGATGTGTAGTATTGTACTGCTAGAGGTCAAGGGTGACCTACTAGAGGTCAAGGGTGACCAATATCCCGATGATCTAAATGTGGTAGAAAGAACTGTATGATGAATACATACATGTAGATGCGACCAATACTGCTGTAAATTTGTGCTGTATCATTGCATTGATACATTCGGGAAATATTTCATACTGTTTATTTCCCGGCAAGAACCGGACTTCTCCATTGCAGAATAGAATGTTCCACGGAAACACCACCACACACAGGCGCCATTTTGATAAAAGGCTTGTCGTCTTTCCCTCACCAGAAAGTCCTTCGATTAGTGCGACCTTCATAGCTCCTTACCGTAAACTTTCCTATATATACAACGTTAATATGAAATGGTTCTGTCCCATCGTTCCTCCTCGGCAAAATGTACAATCCCTCAGGCTTTCTCTCGATCTTCCGGAGTGGCAAGATTAGCGATCTTACGGTTTACAGTCTACAATGGATTCCACAGGTAGTTATGTCCACAGTCTAATTCTAACGCGAAAATACACTTTACAACAGACGTAGAATAGAGGTCAACTATTAAATGCACTTCATATTTAAAGGTTTCCTCTTCTTTTTGGCCATGCCCATCGTCAGTACATGCATGTTTCTTTGTGACACGCCACAAGCCCAGATGCTTTCTTATTAGTCTATCATCAAGCGTTGTATCTTGGGCGAGCTAAAGGCAGTTTCTGTTGGCTTGCTTTTGTTGCTTGCGATGAGGAGAAAATCTCTTTATCCTTGCCCGGTATGTCTTCATGTCAGACATTACATGCAGTGCCCATTTCATGATGCAGTACAGTGACTTTGTCTGGGGTCCTTGTCACGGGCACAGAAGTATCCATCCGCGGATGTAGTCCGCCGCCTGTGTGACGTACCATTCAGAGGGACTATTTACAAGAGTTGACCCATTCTGTGATTCGGCACTCCTCACAGATGACGTAGCAACACCAGTGGAATTTGCAGTTGCACCTCTCGACTCTAGTCTGTCTGAATATGTTAAACCCCCGGCCGCAGCACAGAGCCGCGCAGCTGTCCGGCCCCGAGCTGGTTTTGTTGCAGATGCGTCCTCTCGTGCCCGGAGTCTCCAGCTCCCTGTTCCTATCACAGAAGTCCGGCGACCTGTCGAAGTAGACCAGGTCTGTGGCGAAGGGAGGGCGGTTGGCGTAGATCGTCTCTAGCCTCCCGTAGTTGTCGTTGCTGACTTTGATCTGCGTGGCGTAGTCGAACCGCTCCTTCAGGATGACGCCGACCTCGCGGAAGTCCGGCGTGGCCTTCCAGCAGGTCTTCAGGTTGCAGCTGCCGGACATGCCGTGGCACTTACACCGCCGCTGCATGTTGGTGGACACGGCCTGCGGGGGAACACAACATCGTCATTTAAACAGCCAGATCAACATAACCAGTTGTAAAGAGCCGTGGCAGAATTATCATATTAATAGACAAAGGAAAGTGTTACTCAAGCAACTGGGTGGATTTTGAAAACCGTCAGACGTTTCGAGTAGTAGTATCCACTTCATTTCACCAGTGATCGACTGATGAGGATGCCGCTTGAAACGTCCGACAGTTTTTAAATATCTATCCAATTGCTTGAGTAACAGTTCCTTGTGTATCGCATTACCCCGCACTCATCCACGTATCAAATCAAAAGCTTTTCACAGCACCAATCATTCAGTTCTTCATTCTGTTTATGGCTATCAACTGCCTCTGAAGTACTTGTAGTTGTCACCAGAACCAGAAGACCCCGTGTGCTCTGCGTGATAGATGGCATTAGTACCCACAGCGTGAACCCGTGTCAAAGGCTCAAAATACATCTTCCTCTCTATCATACTTAGCGAGCTCTTATCCCAGACTTCTGCAGATTAAGACTCATTTTTCCATCTGTATTTTGTGATCTGTGACCCTTAAAGGAAGTAGGAAGTGTAGAATAAGTTAAGCCGGTGACTTTGCTGCTGGCACAGAAGTACCGGAGAGCGCTGATGAGGGAAACAGGTCTACGCTCATGGACCATGACGCTCTACTGAACCTAACTCACAATCTATCTTGTGCAGGACTAGATGATATAGTTTCCCTTTCTTCCCTCACTAATAGTAACGACATTTCTCTATTAAAATCCTGCCCCATTTAATACGACCTTATTTTGCCTTGCATGTGTCACTCTCTAGTAGCTCTACGCAAACGTTAGACTTTTTTTGCCCGATGTACCGATGGTGACAGCTCGAGTACCGAGTCCCAACTGGCGCACCGTTCCATGCCTCACCTCCTGACACTTGACGGAAGCTGTGTGAAATGGATAGACAAATGTTGCCGTACTGAGTCGCAGCCGTGACCGGGTGATGTCTGACACACGGGAGCTGATGGAAGAACCACCCTCCTCCGCACCCATCAGTGCCAAGCCCACCCAGGACTTCCCACCATGAATTATCCAGATTAAACACATGGCAGCACTGCTAACCCCATAAACCAGCTTGTACTTGACATATACAACTATTATCACGTCTAGAATCAGAAAAGTAGGTGATATATTTTGACTATTGAAAAAATATGGAACTGGAGATAAAGGCATCAGACAAATGACAGTAAAATATTCCTGGAGTTTCTTATGGATGACTTTAAAATTTGTTAAACTTTAAGAAAGTTTGTAAAAACTGCGGGCAATGATCATATTTCGTTTCTTTTCAGGACTGTTGCTTGTGTTATTCTGAACCGAAGACTTCATTATGAGGACCCAGGGATATTGCTTGAAAGTTAAACATATCTGCTTGTGATTTGGTAAGATTAAAGAGGTGCGGGGATCTACTGCTCATATTATTGAATCCGTGTGGTCTAAATCCAGGTTGGGGTCTGGATGTCAGCTGCCCCCCACCGGTTCACCTGGTCCCGCAGGCCCTGTCCTTGAGCCAGAATTAACACACAGCCGTCAAACCCTGTCATCTGAGACAGGTGGGCTGTTATATTGCAAGGAACGACGTGAGAGTCGTCTTGCTTTGGGGGAGGACCGGCAAATATGGCAGTAGGGATGGCCTGGATATTAGCCTGGTGAGGCTAACCTTGCCTGTGATTATCGTCGCTCGGAGATGCATTCGGTACAGACTTATTTCACTAGTGTACTTCATAAATACAGCAAGAGGTTCCAAGAATACAGAGTAGTGACAGATATTTTGCCTCACCCCTTTCCATTGTTGTTAGTTGGATTCCCCACCCCACCGTAGCGTGTCACAATAAAGTGAAAAGTTCATTCGGAGCCTTTTGGAGACTCGAATGTTTTCAGATTCTCAGCAACACAAGCTCGTCCTGTTTTGTCTTGTGGAAGTAGCGTGCCCGTTTCCTTATTACAGTCGCGCTGCCCGCTGTCACAGGAGCAAGTCTCGCCTGATCTGTGGGGAAGTCGGACAGAATCAAACCCTCCGCCGACGGCCAAATACGCCGCGGAATGCGGGATGTTCCCAAGCACTTGCCGTGATGCGGCTAGCGGTAATTCTTCTAGTCAGGCCGGGCCTGTCGGGCTCGGGAAGGGGGCCGTCGTTTTGTGTAGGGTACACTCCAGCTATCCATAGGAAAACGGGGGCCAGGCTGTAGACAAAACATTACAGGGTGTGTACAAGAACGAATGATGTAAAATGGGATGGTGACAACTAGATGGTGAAGGAAGGTGTGGCAGTAAGAGGAGTGGACATCAGTGTCTTTCCGCACAAAACCATGATTGTATTTTCCGGACTAATCGTACATTTTGTTTGTCCATCAGTGAGTACCTGAGTTATGGGTACGATGCAGATGCCCTGAATAGTTCGAATAGAAGTACACTTCCACATTGAAGAAAACACAAGTCTGATATGTGAAAGACAATGTAATTCATCTGACAGAAGTGGGTATTTTTGTCAAACGATAGTAGTAGTAGTAGTACTTTCCGTACCGTCTTTCGAATCAAAGATGACGTGAAAGGAAATACATTCTACTGATCTTTTCCCCACGCCAACTCCCGGTTGTGAAATATATATACAGATGTGGAGGAAACAGCATACAGAGAAACGTAGTGCCAACCACAACAAACCGTACCGCTCCCACAACGTGGCAGTGCAAAGACTTCCGAATGGCTCTTTTTGTTTCTTATAGACTTACCAACAACGCTTTGATTGTTTCCCCCCTGCATTTAGCACTAGTTTGTCCGGATTAGGAACGGGCCAGCTTGCTTTCTTTAAACACAACTATTTCCCACTTGGGAATGAGCTACATACCAGGCGTTGTACTTAGCACTAGGCCAACACGCAACAGAAAATGGACCGCATGTCCTGAAGGCCAGGCTTAAAGCTCCCAGAGCCACCAGGTCTTCATGCTAGCTCAGTTGAAGAAAATGTCGATCTGTTTTCTTCTCAGTTGGAAAGTTTTTTAAGAACCGACATTTCAAGGACAGGACTTTACCACATTAAACATATTTAATTCGAGTTCAGAAAACAATACTAGTATATTAAAATAGAATATGCGAATTATTACCTTATTTCCATAATCATTGGGACAAGCCTAAAAAAATTAGAAAAGCTCTGAATATTTCATGGAGGTATGAGTTATCTCCGAAGTCATGTTTTTGAAGTACCTTTCTAACTGTAAATATAGCTTCTTCAAGTCTGTTTGATACGCTGAGTCACTAGTACTTTTGCTTTCCAACATCTCTCAACTTATATTACATGTGATTCGGACGCCTACTACATGTACTACTACTCGAAAGTCTTACTCAACACGTTTGAATGCTGAGACCATGCCAACAGATGTTCCTGTCAGTCTGATTTGCGCGCAGAGTGCAGACACAGCCCGCTCCACCCCTCCCCTCCTCCTACCCGCCTCTTACAGCGATTAACACTCAACACTCAACACTGCACACAGCGCCTGCCAGCAAAATGTACTACAGATATTCACCTCTCCGAGATTTGGTATCATTTGTGCGCGTTGTGTGGATATATCATTGCCATCAATTATTATTCACTTGTTCTAGTGTGCATCCTAGCGAGCCTAGTTATTAGAAAATCGTTAATGTATGTACAATATGTTCTATCACTTTCTTTTCTTATATCATCAGGGAAACCGGCTGCAGTATAATCTAAACCAGGATAGTGAGTGATCATATATATGATATAGCACATTGAGATGAAACAAAGGAGAAATTATGACTTAAAAAGCGATTAAACCTACCTATTGAATTTTAGCACTTTTTTTTCAGCTTTTGTGTGAAGAGCTGAGGAATATTGACACATCTTGTTTTCTGACTATTCTAGAGTACATGTACATTTAAGGTCCAGGGTATTGATTGCCAAGGTGGCCCTTACCTATACATATTCCTATAGCTACTCTCCAAAGAGACTCCAAAGCCAGACTGTAGTTACTATGAACATGTTGGATCATGTAGGATAGCTGTAGACCTGTCTAAAATCCGCTGCAGACCCACATGTGTTGGTGATTCCAGCTCTGTGTTCACCTCACACGTTACATGGCCATCTGCTTGTTACATACCGATCGACTGTTCGCATATTGTAGCCAGCATGGTGGCCAGGAGAGCCGGGTTATCCGCCGAGTGTTTCCCATTTTGTCGCACGTGTAGGCAGGACCGTAGGCAAGGCTTACTGTAATATTCTGGCAGACATATACGATTGCAATTGGCAGGCAGTATTTCATCGTGAAACAACTGAACAGCAAGAGAGGGAGAGAGGGGAAAGGAAGGATGTAGGGAGGGAAGGGAAGAGAAGAGAAGAGAAAGAAAAAGTAAAAGAGAGAAAGAAAGAGAGAAGCCCATAAAATCTACGACAAACTGAAAGGTCACAATTCCTGTCAAAAGTGAACTATTAAACTGCCAGATATGTTTTCTAACTGCCACAAAAGCCGTAGATGACGCCTGACTCCGTAAACGCCAGTTTGCACAATTTCCAACAATAGCGCAATTGTTCTCTAAATACGCAACTTTGTGTTCTTGGATTGGCAACTTTATTCCTGAATTGGTGGATGGAGTTTGGACATTGTTATGACTTGGTCCACTTGGGTGAGAAAATGAGTCCTTGATCGCGCACGTGGTTCCAATTCCCCCCACGACAGGACTTAGTTACAGAGGAGTGGAAGGTTAGTCCGTGTCTTCAGGCTGTCAGGTTTAAGTCACAAGTACCTTGTCACGGCAACCTCCTCAGGCAAACCACACAAACCAAGCGCAACCTTCCGTCCTTTCTATACACAACCATTATCATATGCCTGTGCTCTACAATATGAAAGATATCTGCACCTAGGAAAAAGGTCTTAGGGAACCTAAATGTAACGTTTTTGTCTCAGGCTTGCACATAAAGCATAACACTATGCTATTAATAGAGGTGCAAACTTC